TTATTGGGTTTTTTTTAACATTTATGTTTTCCACGTTACTTTAAATGCCTTTTCTATAGAAAAGTGATGTTGCCTGAAATATCATTGCTTAATATAATAAGTCACACTAGAGTAGACTCATTGAGTCAGTGAGGATTTAGTGAGTCAGCTCTGCCATAAGTCCATTGATTGAAATAGGCCTACAGCTTTAGTGCAGTAAGTTGCAACTAGAGCAGGCCCATTTGAATCAACTGAACTTACAGAAGAGTTGACTCACCAAACCCCACTTGGACCTACGCAGTGTGGACCTACTACACTAAACAACAGGAGTTCAGCCACTGAATTGAATTCAACTACGGTACTTCATTCCATAGATAACTAATTACACATTTAACAGGGAAAATGCATCAGTTTAAGTGGTTTTATGAATTCTACAATAAATTTCATTCCCAATAGTGAGGTCAATGAGGTAGGTTTTCAAAGGCAAAAATGACACATCCTGCCCAATGCACAAACCAGTTACTCCAGCATAATGCATTCAAACCAACGCAGTCCTAAGATTTCTTATTTAATTGGTTTCTACAAAATACACATGGTTTAGAACAATGCATCAAGTTGCTTCCTCATCAAAGTGCATATTTTTCAGCTGATGTGAACAGCTTAAGCTCAAAGTAAAGGAAGTTGTAATCCACAAGCCACTTAACTCCAAGTGACTTGTTTCAAACAAATTTTACTTCGCTGAGATTACATCCACTTAAAGTTTAATGTTCAGTTTCACTAGTTTATGGGTCAGACTGTGCCATTTTATTTTTCTTTTAAAAAGAAGTCTATAAAGATACCAGGTTATCTTCATAAATTTTTTTTAATGAAGACTCCAGCACTTCAGATCAAGCACTAAAGTTTTCCAGTCCCAGAGTTTGGAGCAACATTTGACAAGTAACCATTAACTACAAGTTAATTTTTAGCATGCTGAGGACATAAAGATGTTCCTTTTGTAAAGCAGTGTAATGACTGGTGGCAAATATTTGTGGGGACAAATATGTCTTTTCAAGGTACTGGCCCTTTTCTTCCTTTTTTCAAAACATGGTTTTCACCAAAAAAGTAACGAAAAGGAAGAAGTAACTATTTTGTAACAGTAACAGCAATGAGTTACAACTTTGCAGTTTTGTATCAAGGTACATGACAAGTAAAACCACTCTTTAAATATCTCACTTACCTTGAAAGCCCTATCTAGGCTGCTATAAATCACTTCCAACTTGACGGCACATAACATCAACACGGTACACAACTTTTAAGAAGTAACTTTCCAGACTCTGGCTAGTTCCATAAACCAAAAAACCAAAGGGCAAGGGAGAAACATTAGCCTTTGTTGTTTTTGTTATTGAGTTGGTAAGTCTTTTCTGACTCTTCATGATCCCATGGACCAGAGCACGCCAGGCCCTCCGTTTTCCACTGCCTCCCGGAGTTGGGTCAAATTCATGTTGGTAGTTTCGATGACACTGTCCAGCCATCTCATCCTCTGTCGTCCCCTTCTCCTCTTGCCTTCACACTTTCCCAACATCAAGGTCTTTTCCAGGGAGTCTTCACATGAGATGGCCAACATATTGGAGCCTCAGCTTCAGGATCTGTCCTTACAGTGAGCACCCAGGGTTGATTTCCTTTAGAATACAGTGAGCACTCAGGGTTGATTTCCTTTAGAATGGATAGGTTTGTTCTCCTTGCAGTCCAGGGGGCTCTCAACAGTCTCCTCCAGCACCACAATTCAAAAGCATCAAATTTTTTGGCAATCAGCCTTCTTTATGGTCCAGCTCTCACTTCCATGCATCGCTACTGGAAAAACCGTAGCTTTGACTATGCGGACCTTTGTCGGCAAGGTGATGTCTCTGCTTTTTAAGATGCTGTATAGGTTTGTTGTCGCTTTCCTCCCAAGAAGCCAGGAGTCTTTTAATTTCGGGGCTGCTGTCACCATCTGCAGTGATCATGGAGCCCAAAAAGGTAAAATCTGTCACTGCCCCCATATCTTCCCCTTCTATTTGTCAGGAGGTGATGCGACCAGTGGCCAAGATCTTAGTTTTTTGATGTTGAGCTTCAGACCATTTTTGGCACACTCCTCTTTCACCCTCATCAAGAGATTCTTTAATCCCTCCTAACTTTCTGCCATCAGAGTGGTATCATCTGCATATCAGAGATTGTTGGTATTTCTTCCGGCAACCTTAATTCCGGTTTGGGATTCATACTGTCCAGCCTTTCGCATGATGTATTCTGCATAAAAGTTAAATATGCAGGAAGACAATATACAGCCTTGTCGTACTCCTTTCCCAATTTTGAACCAATCAGTTGTTCCATATCCAGTTCTAACTGTTCCTTCCTATCCCACATATAGATTTCTCCGGAGATAGATAAGGTTGTCAGGCACTCCCATTTCTTTAAGAACTTGCCATAGCTTGCTGTGGTCCACACAGTCAAAGGCTTTTGCGTAGTCAATGAAGCAGAAGT